ATTGAAACATAATAGTCTACTTAGTACAAAAATTATGTTTTCCAACTAATATTATTACGACTATAGCTTTGTAAGGCAAGATACTAATAATAATAAAGAAATGTAACGTAAAAGTATTTACTACATGATTTTTTGCTTGGCATTTATGATAGATATTCCAATGCATTTATTGTTCATAATTAGTAGAAAAATCTATCTATGTAAAAACAATATACAATAAGTTTTACCTCTTTATCTCTCCTTGAGAAGGTTGAAGAAGAGACAATAGTTAAGCATTAGTTTTAGTTTTATTGCTAGTTTTAGGAGGTGGAAGTTATTATAATGGGATGTAGAGAGGAGAGTAGTGGGTGTAGGTATGGACCCGAGGAAGAAGTTATTTAGGGGGAAAATAAGGTTGAAAAGGATACAAAAATTAAGTGAAACTATCAAATTAAACCATCAACGCTTCAAAATTTTAGATAGAAGTGAAACCAATACTGATTGCACTACATAATTAAGTTACATATAGATAATATAAGACAAATCTATTTGACAATGCATTTGTATCATTGACTAATTCTTACAATTTATAACTCCATACAGAATTTAATCAAAGTTTAATCCAAATTGTATCAAATCTAAAGGAAACAGGTAGACTTACATGAGGATCTATATGGAAAAATATCTAGGGTTTCGATTCGACCTTATGGAACTGTGAGGACGATGATGGAACAACGAGGATAGGTGGCGAAGGACTGGGCGTGCTGGTTCTGCTCGTGGAGGAACTCGTTAGAGAGGGGGACAGAAGAGCAGGGAGGAGACAACGTCGGGGTTGGAGGAGGCGAGGGATACGACAGCGTCCACGACGGTGGATCTGACGGAGGAGTCGGGGTTGCGGAAGCGGAGCAGGGAGGCGGAGAGGAGGCGGGGGAGGAGGGAGATGACAATGGAAGTTTGAGAATTTAGGAATGGAGGTATCGGATTTGGTAGAGTAGTGGGTGTAGGTATGGACCGGAGGAAGTTATTTAGGGGGAAAATAAGGCTGAAAAGACGTGGGAGTATTTTTAGGAGGTGGAAGTTATTAAAATGGGATGTTAGAGAGGAGAGTAGTGGGTGTAGGTATAGACCGGAGGAAGTTATTTAGGGTGAAAATAAGGCTGAAAAGACGTGTGAGTATTTTTAGGGGAATAAAGTTTATTTTTAAAAATAATCTGATTGGCCCTAAGAATTTTTACTATTCATTCATTGTTCCCTTTTAGTTAAAAGAAGTAGTAGATAACATTTTGCTAGTAATTTACAGAAAAAAATAAGCATGCCTTTTTCCTTGAAGACAAATAAAGAGAGAAAAAGAATCATTATTATTGCCTTTACTGAGAGAGCATCATACTCCCTTTAAAAACACGAGTTCGGAAAAATCTTTCTATGGTCAATATTACCATTCATTATTATAAATATTTTATTTATATCTTAATCTATCCTAATCATAATTATATCCTATTGTTTGTTGGAAAATTTGTGAAATGAAAATGAAAGAACTGTGTTTGGTTTCATTCTCCCTAACTGCTTAGAAAAAGAATATTTACAACTCTCTCAATCTTAATTACAATTCAAATTTTCTGATTATAAAAGAGAAGAGAATCGAAAGAGATCCTTCCTTTTGTTTAATTCTGGGTTCTTCACGGTGGCGATGGAGTGCCTCCCTCGAATTCTCGCTTGAGTTTGCTCTCCGTTGACGATCCGATGTTTCACTTCACTAGAACGATATCTTCTCCTCACGATTTGACGCTATGGAGAACTTACGTGGCAAGTTTAAAACTAACTCTTAACGAGTTTATGAACTCAGAGCGAGTTTAGAAGAACTTGCAGAGTAAGTTTTGAACTCTGATCGAGTTGAGAAGAACTCCTAGAAAGAGTTCAAGAGCCAAGTCGAGTAATCTCAAAGGCTTTAATAAAAGCCTTACAAGATGATTCAAGAGTTTCTTCAAGTTGCTGATCTCCAGAGCTCCAAGAAGGTCTGAAGAAGCCGAGCCGATCTCTCCTTTTACAATCTTTTTAATGCAAAAAGTTGATCCCTAAACTCAATTGAGTTTCTGATATTTATAGGGGATTAAGGGGTGTAACCGTCCCTTTAATCCGCTCCTTAATGGGGGCTTAATTGCCCCATTAATCGGGTGTAACAGACCCTTAAACCGCTCCCTAAATTGTTGTTTTGAAACTGTTCAGTTCGTGCTTTGAATGAGTCAAACGCTGAAAATGGCGTTCTGGGCCCGAACTCAGCATTTTAGAACTAAAACGCAGAGTTGGGCATGTTTAAGGACGAAAACGCCGTGTTCGCATAGCGTTGTGAACTCTGAAACGCAGAGTTGAGCTCTGCATGAACCCTGTGTTTTGAGTCCACGAACTCTGCGTTTTGAGTCCATGAACTCTGCATTTCGAACCTGGGACGCAGAGTTGGGCTCTACATGAACTCTGCGTTTTGAGTCCGTGAACTCCGCGTTTTGAACCTGGGACGCAGAGTTGGGCTCTGCATGAACTCTGCGTTTTGTGTCCGCGAACTCTGTGTTTTAAACCTGGGACGCTGTTGATGCTCGTGAAAAAACAGTCGATGGGGGTTTCCCACAGCCGGATGTAATTTTGATCCTGGCAACGTGTAGGCTGTCTAAAAATCACAATGGATAGCTGATCCCTATCAAGCTCCGACAATAGAAGTCACAATCAGACGACTTTCTAATCACTGTATTCACAATTCTACAATCGCTACAAACACGACCTCATTTCTAGGATGATTGATCTTGATGGTTACGACAACAGCATGACTAATATTATATTAGCAACTATTAGAGATGCTGATGAGCAGTGTAATGATTTCAGAAATAAAAGGTTGGACGTAGTTGGTGAGTTGTTTGGTAGAGAGCTGTGGGCAAATATTCATCTAAAAACACTATGGATGTTGATTCCCGTCAAGTTCCAACAACGAAAGCTACAATCAAATAGCTTTCGCGCCGACAATCGAAAGCGGCAAATAGGAGACTTTCCACACAGATCGAGAAGAGTTACAATTCGACGACACTTCCGACAGCTGATGAAAACTCTGTTCACTTTCACACTCCACAACAGCTAAAGCTAGGATTACTGAACAACGGTCCTTGCAACGCTTTACAGAAAAAGTTACAAGTCAACTAGCTCCTTCTAAAACGCGGATGTCATCTCCGCGTTACAATTCTGGAAGTGCAGGCGACCCCTGCGTTTCCAAGCACAAGCTAAACATGAGCGACCCTCGCGTTCGTAGAGGTTCAACCAACACTGACCCCCGCGTTCCCAAACTATAACAAACCAAAACGCGAGCGACCCTCGCGTTCAATGATGTTCAGCCAATACCCAACCTCGCGTCTTAATTCTAAGAGGCGACGTTGGGTTTTGAACGCCAGATTGGGCGTTTGACTCGTTCAAATATGAGTCGAACGGTTTCAGAACTGTTTTCCCACGATCTGAGGAAATCACGCCCACTTAGGAGCGGATTTAGAGGGCTGGCTTTTTGGAATGGAAGAGTTGGCAGCAGGTTGGATTTTCAGGATCTCAACCACTCAGGTTTGGTGATTCGACAGCAGCAGCAGTAAAATCCTTGGAGATAGGATTTTTGAATCAAATTCAGGAGATCAAATCTGAGAGGATTCTTCAACAACAGAATACCAGCTTGGTCATTAACCGAATTTTCGGTTCTAACAACTCTATTAACAGAATTCTAACTCGTTTAGAGTTCTTAAACTCATTCAGATTTATCCATTAAACTTTCCACAGAAGTTCATCGTTCACACGAGATAGAAGACGGTCGGATCGTCAACGGAGAGCAAATTCGACGCGAGCAATCGAAGGAGGCATTCCATCGCTACCGAGAAGAACCCAGTTTTAAACAAATGAGAGAATCAAATTCGTTCTCTTCTCTTTTATAATCAAGTTGTAATCGGAATCAAAGAAATACAAGTCAATTTTCTTTTGCTCTTTTCATTGCAATTTTCCTACAAACAGGACTATAATCCATTTTGGGGGCCGACTCCTCCTCCGACTTTATGCCCGATTCTGAGCATGCGGGGTGGGCTGATAGCCTGCACATGCAAGAATCGTAGAATACGGGTCTAGTTTCCCCCGTGATACCTCCGACGGTCAAGTCAGTTGGTGAACTTGGGGAGGGTTTTTTGAGAGGCCCTTGTGCCATTGAGGTCCTTGCAGGGCGTTTCTCTTTTAGGGTTGGTGAATTATTAAGAAGAGGAAATCAAGTTCGGGTGTAAGAATCAGCAGACCCCTCTCTGCTCTTACCTTCCTTACCTCCTTTTATAGCCCCCTCCTCCGGGAGTTTGACCCTCGGCTTTTGTTGACTACGCACAGGAGGCGGTTTGAAAGGTGAACAGACATACTGCTGAGTCATCTTTCTCCCTTCAGGTGTCGGCAGGCGACTGGAAGGGAAGTCACTGAGTGTCAGGGGAGAAATGTCTTCTCAGTGCTCTGGGTTTGTCAGAAGAGGCAGGGTGTAGGGTAGGTCGGCTGCATGACTGTCCTTCTCTCTCCAGGTGACGGCTGGGAATTGGAGGAGAAGTCATTCGTGCACAGAAAAGCATCATGGTAATTCTATGGAAAATAACTTGTAAGCCGAATAAGCGGCTGGTGCACGAGGGTTGTCAGTAGGGGGTGGGCATTTCTGACCCGACCCATTAACCCGACCCGACCGCCCGTTTATATGGGTATGGGTCAATTTATATGGGTCGGGTCATAAATGGGTCAACCCAAATTTACACCATTTATTAAATGGTCAATTCGGGTTAACCTATTGACCCGTATAACAAAATCCAACCCGTGTCAACCCTTCGTTCCCTCACTCCTCATAACGCGCCGCTCCTAGAGAACGAAAAAAAGCCACAAAGAGAAAGAAAACCTAGATCGCATCACGAAGCTCGAGCGGCGGCGGCGGCGAAGCGGCGGAAGGCAGGGCGGAGCGTCAGGCGAGCGTCGAAGCGAGGCGACAGCGAGCGGAGGCAAGCGGCAGTGATCGGCGAGCGGCAGCGATCCTCGAACCATAGTTCCTCTCTCTCCTCTCGAGCGCTCGAGTTCTCCTCTCTCCATTGAGCAGCCATAGTTCCTCCTCCCTCTCTCTGAACGAGCTAATCACTGGATTTTGGGTACACTCTTAGCTAGGGTTTTTTGATCTTGCGTTCTATCAATTTTGGGGTTTTTTTCATCCTGTCTTCTTTCAATTTTGGGATTTTCTATCTATTTAATCATGGCTATTTTGTATATGCTTGATTTCTGTTTGCATGGTAGTCATTACAGATAGCATTTGAACTCGGTAGTAAGAGAAACTTTGTGTGAATCCTTGGAGGCCAATTGATATAGGTAGCTAAACTCCTTGTATTTTGATTTTGTAGTATATATATGAACGCAGATAATACCACAAGCACCCTCCTAATTAATCTTCTGAGTTTCAGAAAAGGGAGGAGGGAATGCTTATGCTTTTTCTCAGACAAACAGGTAATATTTTCTAATTACATATATACTCTTCTCTTCTCAAGGTGCAAAATAATACTTTTCTGGTAACTGTTGATGCCGAATGCATGAAAACTTGTTTTGATTCTAAAGATATAGCTATTACTTAATGGCATCGTCAGTAAGCAGGTAGAGTTATGACATACTAACTAAAAATTTATAGTAAGAATCAATTAACTACTTTTTCAAAGAAACAAATCTCACAATTTGATGACCTCAAACAATGTTATGGTCATATCTCAATTCTCAAATAAAATCACAACATTAAACAGTCAAAACCATACAAAAGCCAAAAGAACCCAGTAACATTTGCGGCATCCAACACAAGCTGGTGGTGTCCAGTATATCATCAGTCAAAATTCCTGGACAAAAGAAAAGATATCTGTTAGATCCCGAACATGAAGATAGCTTAGAATTCAAACATAAATCTCATAACGATTTATGCACATATTTCACATAGGAAGGTGCGTTTTCTCCCCTGTCATAATTATAGTTTCTTGAAAACAACACACCTTGCAGAACTTGGATCATTTCAAGCAACTTCGACAAAATGATTCTCTGGTCTCCGCCATGTCTGCACGTTGCCATCAGCCTGTAAAAATGTAAGTCATTTACGGTAAAATTCAGTAATTCCATGCTCGGAAATAGTTTTTGTCCAGTTTAGTGAAGTTTTTACCTCTGGTGTAGACTTGTATCTGTACAATTGTACATGCTGAACACGAGCTTAGGGGGCTTAAGTTCTATCTTAATGTCACTTGATATATCAAAAAAAATTTAAGTTTCAATGTCGAAAATTTACTCTGCTTGTCCTAGATATTGCATTTTCTCTCATTTCAATGAGTTTTTCAATAATCTAGTTAGCTTCATATTTTCCCCCTCCCTCAAGTATTTTACTAGGTGCACTACACTAGCTGAGTTTTAAGAATGTTTGCTCCCTGATGTTATTTTTTCCACAGGCGTTTGATTAGGTAGCTAGACAAACCGAGAATATACCCCGTTGTAAACTTTACACGTTCAACTTCCTCAAATTTTGAGAACAAAACTAGAGTACACGAAGATTGATCATTTCATTAACGAAAGAATTAAGGTTTAAAAAACATATTTACTTGAGACAAAATGTAGTTATACTCTAGATTAATCACAATGGCAAGGGGATCTTGACTTGCCAATGGATGATGGAGTCTTGGGCTCAGCATGGTCCATAGAAAATCAAAACTGGTTCAGGCTGATGTAAGGATTGATGTCAACCCTTATCCTTATCTCATTGCGGTTGTATATTTTGTATGGTATACATCCATTTCATGACTAGTTCTTTTTTTTCCTAACAATTTTATTTCGTTTCTTTGGAGTGTGAATATGTCTCTTTTGTTCCCTTTGGATTTTACTAGTGCCCATGATTCTAATTCCACTAATATTTCCAGGTCCTTGTGAAGGCATTTTTCCTTGCGACATGATTTGGGACCGTCCAGGGCCTTGAACAAATGACTGCCCCATTCTAACACCAACCATTTGATTCGCTACTGCTGCTGCTGCAAGTGTTGCTGTTGTAGCTGCTGCTGGAGATGTTGATGCTGTTGTGACTGCTGAAGCTGCTATTGAAGTTGGTGCTGCTGAAGCTGCTGTTGTTGTAGTTGTTGCTGCTGCTGTTGGAGTTGCTGTGGAGACTGCTGTTGGAGCTGCTGCTGTTGTAGTTGTTGTTGCTGCTGTTGTTGAAGTTTAGATTATTTTTGTCTAAAGAGCTGCATTGATTGTATGTTTGTTTGCCGATAGTTGCAATTCATTGAAGTACATTTAAATACTGAATATGTCTTTGAAAAAACTCCATGTTGTGAGTAGTGATAGTTTTTGTCTAAAGAGCTTGCAAGAAGTGTTCTTTTGTGCTTGTATAAAATTTTTTATTAGTTATATGTGTTAAGGATATGTCTTGTATTAGATAAACGGGTTATTCGGGTTATATGGGTCGGGTCGGGTAACCCGTTTAATAATCGGGTCGGATCACATTGACCCATTTATTAAACGAGTCGGGTCACACTTATACGGGTCGGGTCAAATTTTATATGGGTCGGGTCGGGTCGGGTCGACCCGTTTGATACGGGTCGGGTCAAATTTTATATGGGTCGGGTCGGGTCGGGTCGACCCGTTTGCCACCCCTAGTTGTGTCGATTGACGTCTGAAATGATCTTGGTCGGCTCTTATCCCTTTGGCCGAGGCGGACTGATCTGAGAGCCATCATTATGATTTGGTGACCCGGTAGTCGAGTCGTTTGCTCAAGGAGTCATCTTAATTGCGAGGGGTCGATTGATCCCGTTCTTCGAGTCGGTCATGATGACCTGTCGATCAGAATAAGGCTTGTCTGCTCGTCTAGTCAAGGGACTTGGCTCTGACTGGGCTTTTGAGCCTCTAAGTTGATTTGGACCGTAGCTTGCTTGGGCTTATACAGGTATTCTTCCGATACTTTTATTTTGGTGTGGTGACTGACCATAACAGTTAGCTACTTTCAGTCGGAGCTGACTTTGGTCGGGTCTGAGTGAAATAGGAATGAGTTTGCTCTGAATATGTGGGATTCTCTAGCCCGTTTGATCATGGCTTAGGAACATGGCGTGGAGTACGCTCAACCGCCACTCTTTGGTGGGTTGATGTTGTCGGTTTTGGGAACCGTTTCTTCATAGGAAACAAGGCGTCAGGGGTTAGAGCGGGCGGTGCTTCTCTTTGCCAATTGATTGGTGTGAGCGGCGGTTCGTATCTCCAATGATTCATTTCAGATTCCCGAAGTGTATCTGCATTGGTTGCTCCAAGGATTGAGCCTCTTGAACGCCTACTTCTTTAGGGATTTATAAATAGTTACCGACGCTGTTGGAAGAGTACTCTATTTTAAGAACTTTTTTCTTTATTGGTTCTTTTATTTCTTCTTAAGAGACTTCATCATGGCCTTTCCTCAGAATGACCGCGAGAGGAAGCTCAGTGTCCTTTATCTGTCTAGGTCGAGGACGACGTTGGACGAGGCAAACTGGTTGTATGATGAATATGACATCTCTCGTGTGACGATGACCATAGGGGCACCGACAGCCTGACTCTGATGCATATGCACAACGGATTTCGGGTGCCTCTCTATCTGGCGCATTTGTAGTGTGGCCTGCGCCTGCCACTGCATCCCTTCGTTAGGGAGGTTTTTGCGGCTCTTGGGGTTTCCCCCTGCCAATTCCACCCGCACGCCATCTGCACTTTGATGGCGTTTATAGACGTCTGCTCCGAGGCAGATGTGGTGCCCAGCATTAGCTTGTTGGGGCACATGGTTAGCGTGGGGTCCGCTGAGGGGGGCCCCCATTATTTCTTCTGCTACTGAGGTGATTTCTGCTTGGATGCTGACCTCCCAGCACTGGACAAAGAATGGAAGAGATTCTTCGTCTGGGTGTTCGGCGCCGACAATATATTGTCCTGCTCGGGTTGGCCCGATGTACAGGAGAATGTACTGGAGCCAAGGGCTCTTAGTGACTCTGTGGCCAAAGATCTCGAGAAGCTTCGGGGTCTTCTCGGTCTTCAAGAGTCTAGAGCTTTAGATGGAGAAGAATTCTCAGAGATGGGAGGGTCCTCTTCGTCCTCTTCCGGCTCCAAAGCGACAGTCCTTCCTCCACCAATGGAGGTCTGTAGAAGAGGTACCAACTTGAAGGAGCCGAGTTCTTCTAGAAGGCCTCTGAAGAAGATGAAGAGGGATTCTGAGGGTGATGACCCTGAGCCTTAGGAAAGAGCTTTAGGAATAGATGTCATTCTCCCCCTTTTTTTTCTTCTCTTTTTCTTTTTCTCCCTTTTTTTTGCAGCCCTGTCGGGCCCCTTTTTTTGTAAAAAAAGATATGTACAAGACTCATTTTTGAATAAGAGTGATTTTTCCTATCTTTTGCTTTTGAGAATTGTTGAAATGATTTGAACATGTTGAACTTTGTTTTTCCCCCAGAATAATGTCGGTCCCTTGGGGCCTTGTCTTGGGTTTATCTAGGTAGGCAACCATAGGTGAAGCGCTGACTTGAGGAGTCTTTGTACCTCAGGCTACTTTTGATGCAGAATCAACGATTTCAGAACCGACAATGAAGTCGTTGTGCCTTAGGTCTATCTTTTAGGGAGAACCAAAGACTCTGTACCGACTGAGAAGTCATTTTGCCTGGGGCTTACTCTTCAGGAAGTGCCAAGGGCTTTGTTCAGACTGAGAAGTCATTTTGCCTTGGACTTATTCTTTAGGAAGTGCCAAGGGCTTTGTCCCGACTGAGAAGTTGTTTTACCTTGGACTTATTCTTTAGAAAGAGCCAATGACTTTTTCCTGACTGAGAAGTCGTTTTGCCTTGGTTTTATCCAGATTAGGTACCAAGAGCTTTGTTCTAACTGAGAAGTCGTTTTGCCTTAGACTTATTCTTTAGAAAGAGCCAAGGGCTTTTTCCGGACTGAGAAGTTGTTTTGTCTTGGTTTTACCCATATTAGGTACCAAGAGCTTTGTTCTGACTAAGAAGTCGTTGTGCTTAATTTGGTTTTGCCCAGATTATGTACGAATAGCTTTATTCCGACTGAGAAGTCGTTGTGCCTTGGTCTTATTCTTTAGGAAGTGCCGAGGGCTTTTCCCGACTAATAAGTCGTTTTGCCTTGGTTTTACCCAGATTAGGTACCAATGGCTTTGTTCCGACTGAGAAGTCGTTTTACCTTGGTTTTACCCAGATTAGGTACCAATGGCTTTATTCCGACTGAGAAGTCGTTGTACCTTGGTCTTATTCTTTAGGAAGTGCTAAGGGCTTTTTCCTGACTGAGAAATCGTTTTGCCTTGGTTTTACCCAGATTAGGGACCAAGGTCTTTGATTCGACTGAGAAGTCATCGTGTCTAGGTAACTAGGTCCTGATGCTGACCTGGAAGTCATTTTGCCTTGGTTTTACCAAGATTAGGTACCAAGGGCTTTGTTTCGACTGAGAAGTTGTTTTTCCTTGGTTTTACCCTGAGGAGGTACCAATGTCTTGACTACTATGGACGATGAGAGCAGAAGGAATCGAACTATATGTTGTACCTTGGGCTTACCTTTAAGAAGAGCCAAGGTCTTTGTTCCGACTGAGAAGTCGTTGTGCATTGGTTTTACCCTGAGGAGGTACCAAGGGCTTTGTTCCGACTGAGAAGTCGTTTTTCCTTGGTTTTACCCTGAGGAGGTACCAAGGTCTTGACCACTATGAACGATGAGAGCAGAAGGAATCGAACCATATGTTGTGCCTTGGGCTTACCTTTAAGAAGAGCCAAGGTCTTTGTTATGACTGGGAAGTCATTGTGCCTTGGTTTTACCCTGAGCAGGTACCAAGGGCTTTGTTCCGACTGAGAAGTTGTGTTGCCTTGGACTTATTCTTTAGGAAGAGCCAATGGCTTTTTTCCGACTGAGAAGTCGTTTTGCCTTGGTTTTACCCAGATTAGGTACCAAGGTCTTGTTCCGACTAAGAAGTCGTTGTGCCTTGGTTTTGTCCAGATTAGGTACTAAGGATTTTATTCCGACTGAGAAGTTGTTGTGCCTTGGTCTTATTCTTTAGGAAGTACCAAAGGGATTTTTCCCAGCTGAGAAGTCGTTTTGCCTTGGTTTTACCCAGATTAGGTACCAAGGACTTTGTTCCGACTGAGAAGTTATTTTGTCTTGGTTTTACCCAGATTAGGTACCAAGGGCTTTATTTCGACTGAGAAGTCGTTGTGCCTTGGTCTTATTCTTTAGGAAGTGTCAATGGCTTTTTCCCGACTGAGAAGACGTTTTACCTTGGTTTTACCCAGATTAGGGACCAAGGTCTTTGATTCGACTGAGAAGTCATCGTGCCTAGATGACTAGGTCTTGATGTTGTCTGTGAAGTCGTTTTGTCTTGGTTTTACCCAGATTAGGTACCAAGGGCTTTGTTCCGACTGAGAAGTCGTTTTGCCTTGGTTTTACCCTGAGGAGGTACCAAGGTCTTGACCACTATGGATGATGAGAGCAGAAGGAATCGAACCATATGTTGTGCCTTAGTCTTACCTTTAAGAAGAGCTAAGGTCTTTGTTCCGACTGAGAAGTCGTTGTGCCTTGGTTTTACCCTGAGGAGGTACCAAGGGATTTGTTCCGACTGAGAAGTCGTTTTGCCTTAGTTTTACCCTGAGGAGGTACCAAGGTCTTGATCACTATGGACGATGAGAGGAGAATGAATCGAACCATATGTTGTGCCTTGGGCTTACCTTTAAGAAGAGCCAATGTCTTTGTTCCGACTGAGAAGTCGTTATGCCTTGGTTTTACCCTGAGAATGTACCATGGGTTTTGTTCCGACCGAGAAGTTGTTTTGCCTTGCACTTATTATTTAGGAAGAGCTAAGGGCTTTTTTCTGACTGAGTAGTCATTTTGCCTTGGTTTTACCCAGATTAGGTACCAAGGTCTTCATACCGACTGAGAAGTTATTGTGCCTTGGGTCTATATCGAGGTGGCGCCAGGGCCTGACTGAGGGGTCATTGTGTCGTGGGCCTATCCTGATGCAGCACCA